AAATTGTTCGTTCAACTGCAAGCTCAAAATGGCGTTCTGAGTTACAGATCTCTGTATTAATAGAGTGGCATCTCGTGAATGATAAGGAAATGAGTTAAGTAGCTGACAGAAGATGAATGGTGATCATATGTAAAATAAACGAACTCGCGACGTGCTCAATAAAAGGTCATCATCGTAAAACTTGGTTTCAATCAACAGATTACCACTGAAAGAAAAGAAAAAGAAAAATGAATATTTTTATCATCATAATTGAGTCAATATTCAAAACAAAATGTATAAAATTATAATCGTATTACTTTAACACATCAGCTGGCATCATTTGTGATTCTGGTGCAGCTTCGATCAATGATTGCCAAGTATTTGTTGAATTAGGAATAACGTATCCAAATACGAAATACCATTCTATTTTGAAAAAACCGACATTTCAATCAAAGTATAACAAATGTCCGTCATACAGGGTAAAAGATGACACAAGCAAATTGTAAATTGTGGCCAATCAATTACATTTTACATTAAAAGTGAAGACAATTATGTTATTTACCTTCTAAACATTTTCCTTGAAATAACACTTTTTGTTCTAATCTGAGCTTCTCCATGGGCTGCACTGAAGAGAAATTAATTTCCCTTGAAACAGCTCGACATTTTAGTATATCTCTAGGTACTTTAGCTGTCAACAATTGTAAAGCAAGTTAAATGGCAGATAAATTGAGATTAATAAGCAAAATACTGGCATCTCTCAAAATCTGGCAATTTGAAACCAGAAAAATAACTCACCTTCATGTTCACGATTGGGCTTAGAAAGATCTTCCTTCGATTCCCACAATATTTCCCCATTCCTCGCATCTCTGAGATTCATCCAATTTCTAATGAAAAGCATGATTATGCAGTGATAGGTAAAAAATATATAATTAATAACAAATCAAAAAATAAAAATAAATACAACCAAATAAATTCATTATTTACATTTTGAAACCTTCCAAAATGTCTTCTGGTTTTGCTCGTATCATTGTTGTTATTTATGATTCTCCTGTCTTAATGTTGACGGTAGTAAGATATCAAAGAAACTCGAAAAGTCAAGAAACGATCAGATTAATCATGAATTTTCACTAATTTTTAGAAACGATGAATCACAATTTTCTAGTTTATAATCGCAAGAAGGACTAAATTTTAAAAAATCATAATAAACCAAGTAACCAAATGGAACAGTAAAATCATGTAAACTTGGAGCAAACTCCATTTCAATAGGTGATAAAAGTAAGAACAAACAAATTCAGAGTCAAGGAGACACAATAAATACAATAAACTTGAGATAATTTTATCAAAACATGAAAAAAATGATCACAAAAGGGTGATAAATAAGACAATCAGATGATTTAGACATAGGAATGTGAAGTAACATGCATTTTGTTTCAATAATACACCAAAATAAGATGATTCCCCACCGACTGGCGATAATTACCTCTTAATTGTTCTCGCCCTTAAAGATAAAAACCCTTTTGATTCGGGACAAAATGTAACCCAATGATTACTACAGATCAAGATACAAATGTTGGATAATCTGACACAAGAAATCAAAAAAGAACTGTTTCTGCCCGGGCTCGAACCGGGGACCTTTTGCGTGTAAAGCAAACGTGATAACCACTACACCACAGAAACAGATGACAGTATGTAGGAAATGCAGTAATATACTCCAAACGTGTTGATGACTTATGAATTATAAATAAACGGAAACGGTTATGAGGGAAAGGTATTAATTAAAGATGCAATCGATGGTAGTCGTTAATTAGTCATTGTCAGTCAATTGTTGGAACCGATTTGTGAATTTGTCTGGCAACTCTCTGGTCTCTGGGTTGAAATGGTTCATAATCAGATTTTCTCATTTCCTAATTTCTTAATAGCTTTGCTTTTCTCTTCTATTCTTGGGCTTTTTGACCTTCATTTTGTTAACCACCAACCTCGAGATCACTGTTAACATAACCGTCAACGTATCTGTCAAAATTGCCATTAAAATCACCATAATCATGATCCTCCTTCCATTCCTTTTCCTCCTCCTTATCTTTTGTCTCGTATTTACTTGAGTGTCTTTGTTCACCGTTTTATTGTTTAAATTTAAAAAAACTGATTCCTATCAAAGCAGAGCAAAAATAAAAGCTAAAATCATTAGAGTGGTTAAAATTTTTCTTCTTCACAGTCTTTCTTTTCTCTCTCATTTCT